ACTTTTTTACAAATACATCTTAATTAGTCGTACGTTATCTTCTAATACAACGATCAACAATAAACTAACACGAGATCCATACAACGTAATCGAAAGATGATTATTAACGAATGATTTAAATTACCTCTAGTTATACTTTGATTAATTTAATTGTGGGCCGGAGACATTTATTTCGACATTTGCTCATAATTGGGCCCATATATATTTAATTATGAATTTGAGCTTATAATAATATTAAAATTGGAATAATTAATAAAAAAAAAATATCATAGGACAAGGAGCCATGTTTTAATACATGACAATGATTGCAATTGTTGGAGAGTTGTCCCCCTCACCCCTCCATCAAATGGTCCCACGTTTGGGCTCGTACGTGTACAATTCATGATTATATGATTATTATTTATATATATATATATATAATATAATTTAGATATTACCTTCTTTAAAAAAAAAGAGAGAGATTCATCTCATGTATTTGTTAATATCGAAAATAATCGTCAAGAAATTAAAAAAATGTATTAACGCATCAAAATGTCACGCCTTTGGGGGTTCTTTAATTTGCAATAATTGCATCATCCAACCTCGTTTATATATATATATATATATATATATATATATATATATATATATATATATAGATTTGGCATGACTCATGAGGGAAGCCACGTAATCTTGTATGAATGCATACTACTTCAAAGAATAATATTATCGAAAGATGCATGATAATTGATACACATATTACATAATTATTAAAAATAGATTATACATACATTTTGTATTTCATTATTTAAAAATATATTGTGTGGCAATTAGTGCTTGATAATATTCTTTTTATACATGAAAATAACAATATTTTAGTAATGCGTTCAATTATTTTACTATAAAATAAATAATAAATAAACCCATTAAAAAGCAGGGGAGCATGAGTTATAGCTCTTCAAAATCAAATAATTCTTTTTTGGTAAATTACACCTGCACCCTGAACTATGATAAAATAACTCTAAGGTCTCTATGGTATTGGTAATTATAATTATCCCCCCTTAAATATTTTTAGAAACTCTAACGAAATAATGAATTCGATAAGTTATTCCAATAGAGTTCTAACGAACTTTTAATTTCAGAAAGTGGTGGAGACAACATAAATCTAGGGGTAATTTAAGAAATATTGGAGGAGCCGTGTCGCCCCTATCTCTATGTTCTTTCCACAATTTTTCTGAAATTAATAGTCTGTTATAAACTCTAACTGAATAACTTATCGAATGCATTATGTTGTTAGAGTTTCTAACAATGTTTCAGGGGGTAACTGGAACTACCGATATCACAGGAACCTTAAAGTTATTTAAGCATACCTCAGGAATGTATATGAAATTTATCCATTTTTTTGGGGTCAAATAAAATTAAATTCGATTCGATTTAGAATCATTCACATTTCACATTCGTAAGTCCTAACCCATTGGGTTGAACCTACCTACCTATTTCTTTATTTAATTATTTCTTTAATTAGTGTTTAATAGTCCTAATTAATAGGCATGAATTAAAGATATATATAATGGTTTGTGTTTCTTGGAGAAATCAAAAAAAGAAGATCCGAAAATCAAATTGGATTTGACTTGACCCTGCCCAAAAACAAGAGACCCATTAATTATGAGTCAAATATGTTTAATTTTATTTAAAAAAATAATATCTTCTTTTAATGTAATGTATCATATAATCTCACTTAACTGCCCAACGGACTACTCCAGATTGTCTCTTCTCAGCGGACCCTACTCCGTTTTACGTGCTGCAAAAGTATTTCCCATAAAACCTACTGTCATCTTACACGTGTCACCCCATATATATATATATATATATATATATATATATATATACATATATATATATTTTAATTATTTGGATATATTATTACTATTACCACCGCTGAACTAAGATCAAATTACGAAAAACCCATCATATTTGCGTAATTAAGAATTTTCTTACACGTTCACTCATGCAACATTAAATTTAGTGAAATCTTTTAAATTATATGGAATATTCTCAAGTTTGTACCCGTTTTATCTCATTCGAGCTCCACATTCTGAAAAAAAGGATTACCAACTAGAGAACATTTAAAGGAATTTAGAATATCATGTTGAATTTAACACCATAAAGGGAGACGTGTAAGAAAATTCATAGTTGAGGCGTGATTGTAATTACCTAAACATGAATTCTTATTTTTTGTAATATAACCTTACCTTAGGACCCTAATTATTTTGATTTTACATATATCAAATTCGAATTAAATTTTTATTTGTTAATTCACTGGTTGAGTTTGTATCATTTATCTTAAGCTATATGCCAAAAATAATTATAACATTAATCAAAAAATATATTTATTTTCATAAGAAATAATGAGTAAAATAGTAGGAAATAAATAATTAAAAAAAGGAAACGCGTTATTAATTATAATTAGAGAGAGAGAGAGAGAGATAATGGTGAGTGATTAAAGGTAGGGACGCCCAAAATCTAGAAAGCGGTCTTTCACGTGTGCGTTTTTGTCATCATGAGTATGTCGGTCAAAACCCCCATTATGTTAATCAACACTATCTAAATTCCAACATTTTTCTTTTTTTCCAATTTTTTTTCATACTACATTAATTATTTACTTTTTAATTTATACGCCCTAATACTATTTTCTTAACTCGTATCTCTCTCTTATTAATTAGGGGCATTTTGGTCTAAAAATAATACTTTCCTAAAAAATCAAGATACATTTACTGAGATAATGTAGTTTACTACCTACTTCACGAGAGTGGAATTTAACATCAAGAACAAATTGTATGATAAAATATAGGGCAAACTATAGCCGCTATTGAGATAATATAAAATTACGAAAAAAATTATCTAATTTGAAAAATTACAAATACTCCTAAAACTATGTATTTTCTTACAAAAACTTCATTATTCAGTAGATAAATTTAACACTATAAAAACGAATGTGCAAAATAATACGTAATTATAAAATTGGTTGTTCTTTTGTAATTTAACATTACGATAGGAGTGCCGTAAAATATAAATCGATCAAAATTCGTAAATGCTCCAAAAATAAAATAAAGAGAGAGAAAATAATGAAAACCTTAAAAAGGTGGAAATAATATAATAATGGACAAATCATTAAATAATAATAAAAAAATAAAGTGAGGAAAAAGGAAATGACCTACTGTTTTCTTGTCCTCTCTTTTCTCTCCTGTTATTACATACATACATACATACATACAGTATTTTTGTATATATATATATATATATATATATATATATATATATATATATATATATACAATTCCACAATTGATAAAGAATCTGTATAAAGACTCCTTTTCCCCTACTGCTTTTTCCCAATCCGAAATCATCCCTTTCTTCTAAATCCTCATCTGGCCTGTAAATTAATTTAATGGAATTAGGGTTGAGCTTAGGGTTCTTGGATAAAAATATCCAGAACCAGAACCAGAAGAAGAAGATCAACAATGGCGGTTTGGATTTCTGTATTGCTTTGGGCCTCAACTCTGTCGCAGTTGGGAATGATCGAGAAACCGAAATAAGACAAACCCAGCAATCTCATGAAAATGACGACGAGGACGGCGGCGATGGCGGCGGCGGCGGCGGAGGTGGTGGTTGTGAGATTTCAGACGACGGAGATGGCAGTGATGATAATACTCCAGGGGAAGCTCATCTTCAGCTCAATCTAGCTCCGGTTGTTCCTCGCCGGAGATTGTCGTCCCATATTCAGTCGTTTCCTTGGTCTTCAGATAATGGTACTTCTTACTTTCTCTCTCCTCTTTCTCTCTCTAGAAAACAAATAGTACGGCAGTAAAATCAACTCATGAATCATTTTACAGTGTTTGGCCCTTCTGAAGGGAGTTCGGAAAACGGTGGCTCGTCGGGGAACATCGGCGCGGCGGCGGCGTGGGGGTTGGACGTGAACAGGCTGCCGGAGGCAGCCGCCTCCGCGGCGGAGGACGTGTCGTCGGAGAACACCGCCGGATCTCCATTCAACTTGGGCTTCGGCGTTTACAGAAACACTGAAAATCCGCCGAGCGGCGCCGCTGGTAAGAGGGACTTCGACGCCGCCGCCGTCGGAAACGACGGCTCCGCCGGCTCATCCAGAGCCAGCGACGACGATGAGAACGGAGTCAACGCCCGGAAAAAGCTCCGGTTGTCGAAAGAACAGTCTGCTTATCTTGAAGAAAGCTTCAAAGAACACAACACCCTCAATCCTGTAAGTATTTTGTATATATATTTTATTTATTTCCATTAAAATAAATAATTTTATTTATTAATTAATTAATATTATTTATTTGTTGGGACAGAAACAAAAGCAGGCTCTTGCAAAACAGCTGAATCTCCGACCTCGTCAGGTCGAAGTTTGGTTTCAGAACAGAAGGGCAAGATTCGTAATCTTATATTTATTTTTATTATATATATATATATATATATATATATACATACACGAATGGCTGTATGTATAGATGCGGAAATGAAAAGAGAGGGGCGGGGGAGATACGTTGGGTGCGTGTAAACTAACGGCAGGACGAAGTTAAAGCAGACGGAGGTTGACTGTGAGTATCTGAAGCGGTGCTGCGAAACGTTGACGGTGGAAAACAGACGGCTGCACAAAGAAGTGCAGGAATTGAGGGCTCTCAAAACAACATCCAATAATCCATTCTACACCCAACTTCCGGCCACCACCCTCACCATGTGTCCGTCGTGTGAACGCGTCGCCACCACCACCGCCGCCGCCGCCGCCGTATCTCCGCCCACCGCGAACAACAATAATAATAGTATCACGAAAGCAATTGGATTTCCAGTGAGCAGACCGAGATTTTACCCCTTTTCACAAACTCCAACGCATCATCACAATAGTAAAAGCAGTGTGTGATGATGGGCAAATTAATTAAGTAAGAAGAAAAATAAAATCTAGATAGTATTAATTAATATGGGGAATTGTTGTTTGTGGTCCTGCCGAATTATGTATATATATAATATATAGGAGATTTAATATCTTGTTTTTTTTTTTTTTTTAATTATTATTTAGATTTCAATTTTGTTCTTGCTTGAGCATAATTTTTTATAAGCTCATAACTATATGTGAATTTTTGTTGGAGAATATATGTAGAAAAAATGTAGTTTGACAAAATAATAATAATAAAAAAAAAAAATGAATTAATTAGTAATTTAGAAATAGACCCTGGTTTCCCATTTCCTTTTCTTGGGAACTTCACAACATTATTATGAAATGATGAATGAGATCTTGCAAGAGATGAAATAACGTAGCGGTTGGAGCAAGTGAGTTTACGACATATGATCAAAGTTTGAATTCAGCTGCTATCGATTGAAGCTTATAGGACATGATATGGTGGTTAGTCTAGTATGATCTACGTCTCTCATATTGTTTGCAAGCTACTATGTATGTTTTTTCTTTTTTGCCTGCCAATATTTTCAAAGTTGCATTTGTTGTCTCGAGTTTGGGCAAATTACAGTCAACCCCCTAAGATAAGTTTGAACTACGAAAAAACCCATTTTAGGTTAAGTACAATTATCTCCTTAACTATGTATTGACCTAGACATCTATTTTTGCGGTATCAAATTTACCTACTAAATGAGAGAATAATTTCGTAAAATAATACATGTTTTTGGAATAGTTATAATTACCAATGAGAATTTTTTTTGGTAATTTACCTAATTTTATTAATACATTGTCACATGCAATTGTGATTAGGGGTGTAAACGAGCCGAGCCGACTTGTGAGCTCGAAGAGCCGGCTCGTAAAAAGCTCGAACTCGAACTCGAGATTTTCGAGCTCGAGCTCGAGCTCGCGAGCTCGAGCTTTCTGATGAGCCGAGCTCGAGCCGGTTTTCAGTTGTTCATGAGCTCGCGAGCCGGCTCGCAAGCCGGATTTATTATTATTTTTTTTTATTTTTTATATGTTATTTTTATTTAAATAATGTATAATAATGTAAAATATTATAGAAATAAATACAAATATTAAAAATATATATAATTACAATTTAGTTTTTATTTTTTATTTTTTTAAATAATTTTTAATAATAAAATAATAATTAAAAAAATATTTAAAAAAAAAAAAAAAAACAATGGGCTCGAGCTCGAGCTCGAGCTCGACACAACTGACACGAGCTCGAGCTCGAGCCAAAAAAAGAGGAGCTCGCGAGCTCGAGCTCGAGCTCGAGCTCGACAAAATATACTCGAGCTCGAGCTCGAGCCAGCCAAAAGAGGCGAGCTCGGCTCGTTTACACCCCTAATTGTGATACTGATAGCATTTTAAATATAGTTCCTCATTTTTTCTTCAACTAAATTAAATGACCATATCTCGAGGCATGGTCTTGAAGCATCTAATATTGTTTTCTTTTTTATTTGATTTGATTGAGTGAAGAGTGAAGACTATAGAGGAGAGAGAAAGGTTCGGGACAAGGGCAAAATGGGGAAATGTAATAAATACAATCATTTAAGAGGGGACCAAATATTGGGACAAGTATGGCATATTTATGAATGTGTCTGCTAAAGAGAGGAACCCTTTTATTACCACCAATTATTACATCACACGACTCAAGTACATATTTATATGTATATAATAATCATTTATTATTATTGGGTTTTTATTTCTAACGTTGCTTCCCACGTGACTCCCCCTCATGTCACATCATTGCCTTTATCTACCCCTTGTCCCTCTTTTCATATTTGCTTTCCTATATTAAATATGGAGTAGGGGTCTGATCGTTCCGAACTCGTCTATTCGGGCCGGTATGGAGCCGGTTCGTACCGGTTTATGGTTCACTTTTTCTAGAATTGGAACCGGCCCGTAATATGCACAGTTCGGCGGGCTGGGTCGGGCCGGTTCTGGGCCTATCCGGGCTGGTTCCGGTTCGGCCCGGAAAATATTAGTGAATCCCATAAAATATTTACCTGATATACAAGAAATTTGAATTGAAGAAAAATAATTATACTCAAAATTAAAGAACATAGTTCTAAGTTTTGTACGAACATTCTCAATTATCGACGAAAACAAATTACCCAATTAAAAGTTGAAAGGCTCCGAAAAAATAATTAAAAAAATAAACAAGAAAAAAATCAAATTTCTCTATTTTTTCGTATTACCCATACATCTCGTCGACCCACCGCAAAACATCGCCGCCTCTTCCTCGGCCGACTGGGAAGATTGAGGTCGCAGCCCTAGAGGATGAAGGAGCCGTGGTGCTGTCGTGGTGGATGACGAGGAGGCAGACAGAGGCGGTCCATCAGAGCGGTGAAGATGGGGGAGGCGGTGGAGTGGGAGGTCTTACGCTCGGTGAAGGAACCGAGATTTGGGAAAAAAATCAATAACGTGGAGAAGAGAGGGACGGCCGCGAGAGGGGGGAATTTGTAGAAAAAAAGAAAAGATTGAGAACGTAGATTGTACAGAGTTAGGTGAAGGGTATAAAAGTGAATTAAATTATTTATGATTAATTAAAAGATATTTTGGATTTATCTTAAAAAGGAAAAAATAATTTGGACCTCTCTTAATTGGACAATGCATATGAGGGGTGCTTGTGAAATAATCCCTATTTTATAATGTTATACATTATTTAAATAAAAACTAATATATAAAAACAACAACAAAAAAAAAATTACGAACAACAAAAAAATAAGCTCGAGCTTGTTAAAAAGCTCGAGCTCGAAAAACTCGAGTTCGAGTTCGTGCTTTTCGAGCCGTCTCATCGAGCTTACGAGCGGCTCATCTCGTTTACCATCTCTATATGGGAGTGTTTATTAGGTCTTGATATAATACAAGAATAATATAAATACTCTAATTAATGATTGGTATTTTGAGTGATGTGCGAAGAAAATGAAGTTTGGAGTTGCTTGCTACACTCGATTATTTACGATGTAGTTTAATCGTAGATTTGATTAAATAACTGTACACTATAAACACATATACACATAAATGTGTGTATATTTATCGTTAAATCCATCGAATATAATATAAAAACCCAGAATTATCATCTAACTACCCAATTTTCTTTTAGGACTTGCACCCAACGTTATTGCATACACAACTATTTATGATTTAATTAAATCACCTACTCCTCATGGATAATTAATGTAGTATGGTCACCTCACATTAATTATTATTTCATGCACGCATTCATTAATGGTGCTAAGTTTTTTTGGCTTGTCTTTCTTATTGATTGTTACCTACAATCTTGATCATTACAAGTTTTAAGTATTCGATATTCATACATACTTCATCCGTTTCAAAATCAGTGTCAGTTTGCCATATTGTTTTTCGAGTATCAAGTGTTACCTTTTTTCCACCTTTGCCCTATATCATGTATTGTTCTTACTCGTTAATTTGTACCACTAATTTATCATTCTTCAAGGTTTGTACAAAACAATTTAGGACTTTCTCATTAAAAAAGAGGCTATTTATTAAGTTTATTAATATACGTCTATTTATTTTAAACGACACTTATTTTGAAATATATGCAGATATAACACTTTTTTAGATGATAAAACCTCTTTATTGTTAATTATGTACTCAATTTGAACCACCAATTGGAAGGTTGTTTGCTAGACAACCATAGGCAATATAATTAGGCATGTTGGTTGGTTGAAAATTAAAACCATTTATTTGAAGTAGGGTATTAGTTATCTCTTAGAAAGTGTACACATCCCTAGTGGAATTTGGAATATATAGCATGTATTGTATATATATTATAGTATTCCACAAGTAATAAATTTTGTGGAGCCATAAGTAACACATTAATATATGCATTATATTAAAAATTTATTAGCATTGTCCCGTAAGGAATGACCAAACAGTTGGAATAATAAGTAAACTTGTGTCAGTTAACTCGAATTCAAATCCTTTTGCCAACGATCGCTAAGTCGAACTTGTCACACATGATTAGCCTAGTGTAGTTTACGTCTTGCAAACTATTATACGATAATGTACCTATATAGTTGGCTGCATATTCTTCTACTACCAAAAACAAAATTAATTAATTAATTAATGAATTCGATTAGAAGTGATCATCAAATATTCAAATTGCTTAGTTCATGATTATATATATATATATATATATATATATATATATATATATATATATATATATATATATATATATATATATATATATATATATATATATATATATATATATATATATTTTTTTTTTTCTATTTTGTGCTTTAAGCAATATGATTAACCCAAAAGCAGTGGTGTCCACTTAATTTGAAGTGCTTTAAATAATGATTCGTCATTTCTTTTATCTGAATCAGTTATTAATTGAAGTTGATAAAGAACAAAAAAGTTGATAAAGCCAAGTTTTTGTACGTGGAACCTAATTCCACCAAAAATATGCCAATCAACTAAACATATTTCAATCTAAAAGCCTTTATTTCATAGGACTATCTTTATAATATCTGAATCGATGTTAAATGTCGTTTCAATTTTACGAATACCATTTCAACTTCAAACGTTATTTTGACATTTTTCTAGCTTAGTTTTGGCAAAATTTAAAACACTTGAATTGTAAATATTTGAGTTAATTTTCTAATCCAACTTGAATCAGCTAAATTGGATGCCAGATGACAAAGTTATGCATAACTGAGTTACATTTTGATTTTAGATAGCTAAAAACATTAAAGTTATGATCAATGTTAATTGATTCATGTACATGTTTCTCACCCGACATCAAATTTTGGTAATTCAAGTTAGATTACAAAAATAACTAAATGAACTATAGAATACATGTTTTGAGTTTTGCCCAATTTCAAGTAAAAAATGGTCAAAAGTCACGTTTAAAGGTGAAAATGTATAGTTAAAGGTTAAAACTGAAACAACGTTTATCATATCCCATATTCCTGCGTAATATTTAATTTAATAATGAACTTCATCTATATCTAATCACTACTTTTTGATGAAAATGAAAAGTCCATATATCACATAATACTTAGTTGAGGATAAGAGTGAGTTACATCAATATATTTTATTCAATTGATTTAAAGTAACCATATATGCACAATAATGGGTATTTTGACCATAAATTACTCATATGAACTTCATTTGATAAGATGTCCAACTAAATTTCTAAACCAATCAAATTTGCTTTTTTTCTTTTATTTTGAAGGAAAAAAAGGGAAAATTTAATTTGACTTTTGACTCACATTTCAACAATTCACACACACAAACACAATCAAATAATAATAATAAAAGATATGATTTATTGGTGGACAAGGAATTTGAAAAAGGGATATAGTTTTGGTAGAACATGATTATAATATTATTCATGTGTAGTGGGAAATAGGAAAATGTTGGGAAATTCATTGTTTAATTTGGTTATTATTTAAAATTGATTATTTAGTTTAGAAATATTTGACTATTTGACCGTTTATCAATGTAATTGTGGGAATGGAAAGTCAAAATAGTCAACCTAGTCTGAAACCACAGAAGAAATTTAATTAGACAAGCACAAAATTTAATGAAATTTCAAGTTTAAAAAATGGAAATTAAATAATAAAAAAATAAAAAATGAAGATTAGTGGTCTTTCCTCGAAACTTTCACTCTTTGGGAGTGGTGACTATTAATTACTCACACAAAATCAAAGTGTGTGAAATTGAAACAATATTTATTCTTTGACTGGAAAACAAAAAAAAAAAAAAATTAGCTCCAATATTAATTTAATTTTTTAAATAATTAAAAGAATTAAAATATTCCCTGAAATAAAATTCAATTTCTCCAGTCAAAGTATGCAAACTGATATGAACTTCCATACAAAAAACCTTACATATACAACAAAGACAACCTCAATACTATGTTACTGACTTTAAATTACACAGTAATAATACTAGAATGGTCAAATTCAAGACCACCACAAGTTTCGGTCAATGATAAATATGATGAGTCAATCCCACATTGCTTTTAATCTCGTCATGAACGTTGACCGTTGACCGTTTACCGAGACTTCTCTAAGTAGGTGAAGGAAAATTAGCAATTCAAAGTTGTACAAATTAAGCAAAAAGATTACGAGGGTTTCTTCAGTTTGGAGCGTCGGATTCGTTCTTGAACTGTTGCTCTACCATCGGTGGCAAGAGACAAGCTAGTCTCGTTTTGTATCTTGTAATTCGTTGAAGTCTTTCTTCTCTTAGCCTGCAGATAATGATGCAATAATTTATCAACTTGTGTCGGAATCGAGAAAATTACATCAGTAAACACCTTAATAAAATTAATAATAGCAATCCCTTATCGAAAATAGTATAGAATACTGAAAATTCAAGAAAAAAAATGATCTGAATGTGCAATGCGAAAAGGAGGAAGCAGTTTACCGTGATCGAACCCTCTTAGCACGTTTGATGTGTCTTTGTAAGAGCTCTTTCTCGGACAAATTCTCACAAGAATACTTATCCTGAAATTAAATGAAAGTCGATGTAATTGCTCCTTCGATTCACATGAAATATATTACAGTCAGATGCATAAGAAGACGAAACTGGAAAATAATATCCATTTATAAGAACCAAACCTCATCTTCGTCTTCTTTGTCTCGTGCAGTTTTATCTGGTGAATCTACGATTGGCGCAGCTACGGGCGAAGGGCTGGGAAGAGATCTAACAGATTCCAGGTACAGTGGCTGCTAAACAAGTGGAGTATCAGTAAGTTAATAGAAAAAAATAAACAGAAAAGAACTGGCTAAATTACTAAAAGACCACTATGATATTCTGAAAAAGCTTGTCACCAACATGTAAAACGAAACGCATATTTCCAAAAACAAACAAACTAGACCAACTCTAAACCAGTCTTGTAAGAGCAATAGCGTAAAAGTAGACAAGTCTTATACATTTGCAACCCCAATCTAAAACCTCGTGTTCAATCAAACTAGACCCATTGCTGATATTATAAATCACAAAAGGACATCGAATGAAAACCTAAATACAATGTACTATCATAATCACACAAAAGTAAGCTTGTCTTAGAGATAACGCAGATTGACAGGAGGTGGCATGGGATAACTGATATGGTATTCGATAGCTAAAACTAACCCTTCACATTTTCATGATGCATGGAAATAGAACTGCCAAATAACTGAGATATGTATTCGTTATCCCTTCAAAAGTTTGTCGCTGTATGGATGCAAGAACTAATATAAACTGTCACATGCCAAATGTACTCGCAGAAGATTTCAATAAGCGCACCTGAATTTCTTCGGGATAACTATTTCTCAACCATGACCGGCAGAGACTATAAAGAGAGGCGTTATCAGATATTCGGACCTGAAACGGAAAAGGAGACGTTTTCTTGCCAACATGAGTACTCAGAAAAGGCACAGCTCACATAAACGAGCAAAAATAGATAGCATTCAGATTCAGCAATCTACTTCACAAAATGATTCTGATGGAGTGATGGTACAAGCTATAGGCTCTGTATGCAGAATGACATCAATAACAGTAAAATTAACTTAACAATACAAATTTACCTTCCTATCTCTGATAACTGCAAAAGCATCATCCCTGTTTCTATCTCTGTGGAAAAAAAAGAAAAAAGGAAAATATTTAGAGTTTCTAACAAAGGAAATTAGCACTATAATATTAAAAGAAGAGAGCGCACCCGAGAGAGAGAGAGAGAGAGAGAGAGAGAGAGAGAGAGAGACGTGTGTGTGTGTGGTGTTGGGGGGGGGGGGAGTAGGGAGAGGTAAAACTCTACCTTAAATCTTTCTGGCCATTGTTATCAGAAATTGAACCTGAAGGATGACCAACCTAAATAATGTCCATGAAGAAGAGAAAAAATGAAAATTTAGGTGGCATAAGAAGAATAAAATGCTTGTCTTGATGCTCTGTGCCAAATTGAATTCCACCACTGCGTTTTGTCAAATAATGCCATTGATAATCATTTAATTGTTGTAACAAAAAATATTACACACATAATAAGCACACAAAAACAAATACATCACCTGTAAGTGTCAATATCTCTTTTGGTTTAAGAGCTAGGTGAGGTTTGAACCTTATCGAAGTGAAGCGTAAAAAACACTCGCTAAAACAGAATATAATAGCAACAACTACTATTAGGAAATCCAAGACATTATTGACAAATTCAATAAAACAAAGAGGATAATTAGTTCGAATGCTCCTTTAATATTTACTTCAATCCATTTGTAAAACCTATAGGACATGAATTTAGCTGTTAACGAAGATATAGGTAGCAAGACACTCATCTCAGAAAGTCAGAAATATAGACTCCTCAAACCACAACCGTGATTTTGTACGGATCAATCCACTATTATAATTATAAAATAAACGAGATAACTTCAAATAAAAGCATGTTTTTTCTGTTCTTGCAGCTTAATTTCAAGACTTAATATACTAAAGAAACATGCTCCTTTTTTCAAGACCGGCACAACAATGAAGAAAAGGAAAAGATAAGCCGCCTCAGTCCCGCATAAAGAACTACGATACGAAGAACTGCATTTCCACAAACAACTTTAACTTCCATTGTTCAATAATTGTTTTAAACTGGGCATTAAATTATTTTTTCCATAGAAGACAAATTAATTGAGTGGTTAAACCTAGGTTAATACATTTTACACTGAGAGATAAAAGGAAACAGAGAAAAACGAAATTGAAGTACCTTTGGGTGGAGTGAAGAGGGGATCGGAATTCCATTTACTAAAATTGGCGCAGCCGCAGCAGAACCCGGCCCGGATCCGAGGAGCGCGTGCTGTAAGTGGTTCGGCCTGACAAAGCCCGAATTGGGCTGACCCTGATCCAGATACGGGAACACGAACGGCGGCCGATTTGAGGGACGGCCAGTAGGCATGGCTCCAGGTCTGGAGATGAAACCACGGCCGGAGGAAGCAACGGGGTAGAGAAGCTGAGGGGGGTCCTGGGGGTGGGGGTGGGGGTGAGGGGGGCGGGGTGCTAATTGAGGGTAATTAGGGTTAGGATTTGACGGCGGCGGCGAGTAAATAGGGTGAGGGTTTGGGGGTCGTGGAGGATATTGGAAGAGCGGTCTTGTTGTTGCGGTGGTTGATGTGACGGTGGTTGAAGTGTCCGGCGGTGGAGGAGGAGGGGTGGAGGGGGCCATATGTTACGGTGGCGGAGCGGTGGCGCGGATTTGGGATTTTGAAATGAGTTGGGAGCTTGATTTGAATATTTAGCTGTATATATACGTATATATTATAATAATACAATATAATTTAATTTATTGAGAATTTATTTGGCGAATTATAAAACAACTATATATTAATGTATATAATATTATAACATTGGCTATATATATTTCTTGAAAGTTAAAACAAGCTTATTGGCTGTATTTACTTCAATACATTATATTTTTTAATCACTAATATTTATTGATTAATTAGAAAAAAATAACATTTTAATCAAAAAGCTCTTTGGATCTGTATCTATTAATTTCTACTACAGTTAAGCCTATATAAATTACTACAGTCGGAATTACATCAAAATTCTATAAATTTAGCAAAATATTAAATTATCGAACTATTAATTTAGTACGTTTATACCGACTCGGGACCGGGAAAATTATCATTTAAGCGAGGTTATTTAATTTATCGAAATTCTACTGTATATCAACACAATCATTTTATATTGTATTAATACAACTCTCGTATTCATTTTCCAAATACCAAAATCACTAGATTCATAGAACTTCCTCACTTCAAATTTAGTTAATTATGTTTAATATGGCTTATATCTTCTCATAGACGATGCCAATTATTGTGAACTTAACCCACAAAGACAATCAAAAATCATGCTGACTCAAAGAACGGTTCTAACAATTCGACGATTAAGGACATAATTCAACACACGCATGCACAAATCAAAAGTAAAAGCAACGAAACATAGTAACAAACACAAGGATTTAAAATGGTTATGATTGTATTGCCGTAGAACTACATCCACTTTGCAGAGAGATCGATAAATCCAATAGAAAGAAGGGGTTACAAATTAAAAGATCAATGATCAAACACTCTGAAATCTACTATATGCTCTTGCTTTTAAGCCATCACATACAAAACAACTACTATATGGCTTGCCATTATTAATTAGTGAAGTAATTAAATTAATTCCCATTCAAATATTTTAAGTTAATCACACTCATATTAACAATTAGCATAATTTAATTTATAATATTCTAATGCTGGAAAGATGATCATTGGATCTTGAAAAATGGAAGATTGGACTAATTAAACCAGCTTGATTAAGGGGTTATAAATTATAATCCCAAAACTTTAGCTAATTATAATCAATTAGTCCTAATTAATTGTGTAACACATCCCATTCATCCCTAATCTTGATTTGACTTGCTCAATTTACGTCATTTATATAATTAAGAGAAGATCAAGGCTAAGTAATAAACTCATTAAATATTATCTAGAGAACCTATAAATAAGTAGCTCAATCACCACCATTCTTCATCAACCAATTTATTTATTTACAAAATGGCACAAAGTTCATTTTTCTTTTGCATTTTAGCCCTTGGTTTCTTCTTCGGTGCCTCGTACGCCTTCGATCCTCGTCCGCTCCAAGATTTCTGCGTCGCAGACCTCAACAGCACAGGTACTTATCAACTTCATGTATATATGATATGATATGATATGATTGTTAATAAAATATTAATATTTATTTGTATTGGTCAAAGTGAGAGTCAACGGTCTACCATGCAAGGACCCTGCAACCGTCACAGTGGATGATTTCTTCTTTAGAGGGTTCAAATCAGCCGGAAACACATCCAACCAATACAGCTCGTCTGTGATACCAATGAACGTGGCTCGAGTACCGGGGCTCAACACACTCGGCTTGGGAGTGGCTCGGCTCGACTTCCTGCCAGGTGGCTACCTGCCACCTCACCTCCACCCTAGGGGTACCGAGATCTTGATTGTTCTAGAAGGTCGTCTCGAGGCGGGCTTTGTAACTTCCTACCCTAACTACAAACACTACAGCAAGATTCTCGAAAGTGGCGACGCTTTTGTTATACCCGTCGGACTTGTTCATTACTTTAGAAATTTGGCCGATAAAAATACGGTGGCGTTTGGAGTTGTGAATAGCCAGAATGCCGGGATTAGTGTCGTTTCGAACGCAATTTTTGGCGCCAAACCGGCGATTAGTAGTGATTATTTGTCCAAGGCTTTTCAGTTGGATAAAAAGATTGTCGAAGAGCTCCAATCCAAGTTCTAGATATTTTAATTATATTATTATTTCAGATTATTGATTATGTAATTTAATTTCCAGTGTTTATATTAATCAAATCAAATAAATTGAGTTCTTTCTTTTGACCTTATTTGTTTGAGGTAATAATAATAATGTTTCATATTGCATATATAACTATTAATTAAAAATTGATATTCATTGTTTGAGATTATTAATTATGAAATTTAATTTGTAGTGTTTATAATAATAATTATAATATCAATAAGTTGAGTTATTTCTTTTCCTTAATTTGTGTCCCACATATTAATTTTCTTATATAGATATATTTTTACCAATTTCTAGATAAAAAATGTTAAGAAAAATTTACAAAAGAAATTATTAAACAGAAAAAAATTAATTAAACAGCTTAATACTGCAATAAAAACCATATGTACTATGATCAAATAATATACTAGTACTCCAATATATATATGCCTATTTGATCAGAGTTTCAATTGCAATATAATTAATTATTACCAGAAATTAATAACCATGCAATTACTAATTCTTGATAATTGCATTAAGACCCAAATAAAAGACTCCTTGTACACGAAACCCCCAACCTTCGACTCGATCGCCCTCCAGCAAATTATTAGCCCTAACAAACTTCATCCATTCCTTTTTCAGAACAATCATATACGAGCCCACATTCCACTTCGTCAACTCCATTTCGTAATCCCGATCCTCCGCATGCTGGTCCATCGTAAAAACCCTAAGCCCCGAATAGTAATCTTCGTTATTCACCATTCTCCGTTCTTCCTCCGTCAGAGCTTCCACAAGCTTTTCACTCCGGTTAATGAATATTCGATTCAAACCCGGATTCACATCCGAACATGTCAAATCCTTTTGGAACAAGAAAACCGGGTCGGATCCTCGATCTTGGATCCTCCGCTGCATCGGTGGTGGAAGGGGTGCTGGAGGATCTTGTTCTTTCGTAGATAGTTTCTTTTTCGATCTTCTTGGAATCGGTTGCGATTTTTTCTTGATCTCCTTATTAGTAGCCCTCGGCTCGTAGATTACGAGAGCTTGTGAATTGTTACAACCATCTTCTTCGAATAAAATCGGATTAAAGATATTCCGCGAATCATCATCAACTTTTTCTAATTCTAATTCTTCGACAACTTTTTCTTTTCCCTTCGCCTTCCTTCTTCTCTCCCAATCATCATCGTAATCATCACTAATTACGTCGCTAATCCCAGTAATGATGTCAGCCCCGAACAATCGGAAACTCGAGATTTTTCGCTTCTTATTCATCTGATCATGTTGATCAGTTTCTTGATCAACAGTAGTAATAGAACTACGGTCCCTCTTCCAAGAAGAGGAAGAACAAGAAGAACAAACCCTAGTTTTTGAATTATTAATCTGATCAAGAAACAAGATTTCATCATCTTCTTCTTCAAGGCGATGATTTTTTGTGGGGGTTTTTTCATCAACCCAGAAATCAATTTCTTCAAGAAAAGGAAGATTACTTCTGAAAAGAATTAATCTTTTTGGCTTTTGATCATCCCAGAAATCGATTTCTTGAACGATCTTCATCGTCGAGTTGAATTTGGGTTTTGAATTCTGAATTCGACCGAGAGAGAGTAATTGGGTTTGTTAAAGTGGAGATAGGGCTTTGCATGTATTTATATTAGTGAATGTATAGTTGGTGCAAGGGTAACTTGCGCAAGTCGTATTCAAATTAGGGAAACGACGACGTATTGTCAACAATTAGGAAAGTTTTATGCCAACTCAGTATGAACGAGTTAATTAAATCAAATTAACTATTATAGAATCTTTCCAAATTATTGATTACTTAATTATTTTTGACGATTTTACTTGTACTATTAGATTTTGTGTCCTTCAATATAATTATGAAAATTTGAATTTCCTTATTTAGTATGATTATATTTGAGTATTGTTTTTTTAAATATTACTTTTTACCCTTAGTTAATATTTTTCTTTACAATTAATTAGTACTTCCTTAAGTATAAATTTATAAAATTAAAGAAAAACACATATTGTCTGAGATGTCAAATACACCTAGTTTGGGCTTGTGATTACGGGTGTGAACGAGCTGAGCTCTACTGTGTTGGAATGCTCGAACTCGAGCTCGACGAGTTGAGATTTTCTAGCTCGAACTCAAATTCGCATGAGTTTCGGTGACCTCGGCTCGAAAAGTATGTAAAATTATCATAAATACGCTTAAACTAATTTAGATTCCAAGAATATTCCTCGAAAATTCCAATTTTGCCCTTGCATTATCAAGGTGTATTTATAGGAGTTTTAATAATTAGAGCATCTCCCACCCATCATCACCAAATCTCATATTTATCATCTAATTTAGGTGTCTTTAGTCTCCCAACATAAATCTCTAAATCACCATTACACCTAAAATTATAGTGATTTGGTTTAGTCTCCCACCCCGGTCAAACTCTATATCACTATATTCCTAAATCTTATATTTACACCAAATGTTTTGGTGAAGAAATTTTCATCTCCCACCCATCCACCATTTTACCATATTTTCCACCAAATCCTATTTTTTCTATCAAATATAGAAGTGAAAATAGGATTTGGTGTAATTAACACCATTTTATAATTAGCATATAAAATTATTATATTAACTAATTTCATGTGATTACCAACTTATAAATATGCTTATATTAAATATATTAGTATTAATTAGTGAATTGGTTTTCAAACAATGTTTTAGTGAGGCCCCTGTTATCTGTGAAATAATTTTAGGCAATAATTAATGAAATTATTGTTTATTTGTGTCTTATTAATAAAATAGAATAAATTTACAATTAACATTAAACTTATAATTTTGTAATATGGAGATCAAACCAATAATATTCTCTATAAATGGTAAAATGGCAAAATATTAATATTTTATTATTTGGTGTAAAATTTGATGGAATTGATGGGAGACTAAATACACTATTTTGTCATTAAAAATAGAGAAATTATAGAATGATGTGCTATCACCACAAAAAATAGGATTTGGTGGAAAAATGGTGTTGAGGGTTGGAGATGCTCTTAGGGGTGAATTGTAATATTTTTAAATAATATAAAATATATCCGAAAAATACCGATTGACTTGTCCGAGGGTAAATTCTTCTGAAATCAAAACACGATGATCTCCTTTCAACTTGGGAGATTCTTGTGGAACATTAATAAGTGATCACGTTTTTGTGGATTTTCAACATTGGAATCTATTTCCAAATTACTTTAAAACCAATTCTGAATATATAAATTCCTCTAAATATTGCGAAAATAAATAAATAAATAAATATATGAAAGAGAGGAACCTATATAGACCTAAATTTAGGGGTATTTTTGTCAATTTTTATTTGGACAGTTTTTTAAATATTATATTTAACTTTAAAAATTACTTAATTCTTTTTTTATTTAAACAGTGGAAAGAATACTTAAAAAAATATTTTTGTACTTTTAAAAAATTTAAAGGAATTAGTTGTAGTTTTAAAAATTAAAAAAGGAAGATGAAAGAAATTGAAATGGCTTAAAAAAGAAAAGGAAAGAATGAGTTGTAATTATATATAATTAATATTTAATATTTTTTTTAAACCGTTGCGGTTAGCTGTTACAAAAATGGGAAACCGGAACGGAACCTATTTTGCCGGTTCCGATTCGATTAAAAAGTCGTTGACCCTGAGTCGGTTCCGGTTCTAACCAAACCATCGGGAACGTGTCGAACTCCTCGTCCAGCTCGTGGGGGTTCACCGCCTCGGCCCACGACAGCTTCGCGTCCATGTGGGGCGGGCCCCGCGGCCGGAGCCGATAGTTTCACAGCCCTATAAGGAAGCCGTATAGGAATATCGTGGGGAGTATCAACTCTGGGTAGCAAATGAGTATCAAGAACAATACGTGGACTAAAACCGAAGTCGTAGGGTTTTTCCAACGGCAAACGTCGGTGAACCACCGGTTGGTCGAGATTATACCCGATAAGAGCGACATTATCCGGAAGAAATTCGCCTTGCGAGTCGACGTCGAGCATGTACTCGATGACCTTCTTTATGAGGGGGCGGCTCGGCTCGGCCGAGCCGAGCCGCCACGATGGTCATGGCTTGGTTTTCGACTTGGTTTACTGTGAAACTTGAAAGGGTGTCCGTAGACGGTAGATGTGTATCGTGTAAGCGAGCGAGAGCGTCGTGAATTGGACGGCTAGTTGAAAAACCTAATGAAAAATAGGTTTAACTAAATGCTAAATCTCGTCCATCCAAAGTTCCATTATTTAACTAAAATACTAAATCTCACACTAAAATTATTGAATCGGCAAAATTCGTTTATTTTCTCGCGAAGTAACACACAACCATCACACACAAAACCATGGCAGACGCATTGGTGGGGATGATGGTGGTGTTGTTGTTGGGCGGCGGGCGGGGTTAGAGGGTATGCTTACGTTTTTCTTTTAATTAATGTTAATAATTATTAAATAAATGTTAATCAATGTTTTAAAATTGTTTAATATTAAAAATACTTAATAAACATTGTATGAATATATTTAATACACAGTACTAGATACTTAAAAATTAGGTTAAATAGTAAATACATTATACCCCCTTAAAGTGTTGGATAAGTAGCAAACACCCCCCTAAACTACACCATGTAACATTTACCCCCCTTGAACTAACCATCGTTATTTCTTCTGTTAAATACAAATGATGTGGCAAAACGCCTATAACACAATAATTAAAATCCCCTTAATTGATACTTATATGATTGTGTTATTCTATTTTAATAGTTAAATAAATATCTTATTATATAATTTAACTCTAATTGCATATCATTTTAATGTGGTCCCTGTTTAACTGAAGAACAATAATATATACCATTTGATGATCCAAACTTTTATAAAAGTGTACGTTTTTTCGATGTATCTTAATTACACATTGTGTAACTTTTGAGTATTTCTAATACATATAAAAATAAAATAAAAACTGTTGAATATTTCTTTTTGGTTTGTTGTTTTATTAATTGATTAATTTTTATTTATCATTTATGTTTCAGGAATATGGCAGTTGAATTATTCACTCTAAAATTTTATTATGGGGGACAATTTGTTACTATGGATTTTGGATCATACACTGGAGGTCAATGTTTTGCTAAAAATGAGATTGATCCTGACATAATCTCATACTTTGAGATTCTACACATCGTTAGGG